CCAAGTCAGTTTTTGTGGCGGAGCTTCATTGCATCCAGCTGAGCAAGAACGACCTGAGATCTCCAATTCATGCCTATGGAGCAGGGAAGGTCGGCAACTTTCTTCATGCTGCATCTTTAGCATACTCTAAGTGCTTGGTGTTTGCAGAGTTCAGAGCATCCCAGGTATACGGTCGTTTCCAACAGCTGGTTCGAGTTCACCGAGCCGGGACCCCCTCCTCTGGAAAGAGGCCAGGACATTTCGGACGGCTGCTTTCTTGCCTGCGCGATCGCCCTAGCAGCGGTTCTAAGCCTCCAATGGCAGGAAGGTTGGTGTTCTTGATAGGATGACAATGTCGGGTCTCGTTTGGAAACTCTGTTGTTGTAACGCTCAGGCTGTCGTCTCAAGAGCTTGAAATTTACCAGTCGCTTGCAATGTTGTAGATTCAAACGAGAGGAATTATTGCATTGATACCAACACATTGACCAACTGGGTCTAAGGAGCTACAGAACCTGTCTCGCAGTTGTCAACCCTAGAGTAGGCAATCATGCTGAAACTGCTATGCAGCAGGCCGCATCGCCCTGGACCCCAGCAGCAGCCTCTCTGCTGATTTGGTTTCCTGGTTATGCTTCTGTGCAGCTGTGGAGCTGCGGAATCGGAATCGTGCTGCAGCTTTGGGGCTGAGAATTTGCGGCGCAATTATTGATATACACCCTGATTCCAAGCTAAGGGCTCTGGGAACCCATGTCAGACAGTGGTATTAGATTTTGATTTTGCAAGTCTGTGAATTTGCCTCAGCGCTTTTAATTGGTTTTTTCCAAATAAGATGTAGCAGCCTTTTTTCGGATTACATTATATACAATCTACTAACATGCATTGCCCTGCCTCAAAACTTAAACCCAAAGCCCGCAAGCCTGTTTCAGGACAGCTCTATCATTTCGGCGGCACAACGGGTCTTCGAGGACAAGCGCCCTAGCACAAAAAGGACGTTGGCACAAATGATCCCACAGTACAATCACCGTGATGATCAAACCTTAACCCAGCAAAACCAAAGCAACTCATGTGGGTGCGTGCAGTTACGGCTCTTGGAGGATGTAACTACAAGGCAGCTATTTTGCAGTGCGCGGCTCGACGCAGGTGAGCTGTGGCGCCTTGATGTCATCACGACCACGGTAACAGGGACAAGCGGCTTGGATTCTGACTAAAATTTGCCGTAAACTTTTTTGTGCCGCTATAGGCTTTACTAGTGAAGCTCTCAGTAGTTGAATGGACCTGGGGTGATGGGTTCACGGAAGTTGGGCTCAAGGGTGCCAAAGGTACTTCCACATCAAGCGTCAGCTCCACTGCCACAACAACAAGGTCTAGAACCGTGTCCTCAACAACATCATCATCGACAACAACAACGAGATCGTCAGCAACGACATCGTCAGCAACGACATCGTCAACAACGACATCGTCAACAACAACATCGTCAACAAAAACATTGTCCGCAACAACATTGTCAACAACAACATCCACAACAACATCCGCAACAACATCGTCAACAACACAAACATTGTCCGCAACAACATTGTCAACAACAACATCCGCAACAACATCCACGACAACATCCGCAACGACATCCGCAACAGCGGCAACAGCAACTGTAACCTCCACAACAGCCATACCAACAACCACGACGGCTTTGTCGGCCAGCACGGATATTTCTCTTGACGCAACGACCTCAACAAGTTCAACCCAAACTACAGCCACTTCTTGGAGCGCAGCCTCATCGCTCACCACTTCGCTGACATCGTCCACAGCCACGCACACAACTACGTCAACTACGTCCTCCTCGGACACAGGATCAACTCCAGCTTGGAGCTCAACGGCCGCATTCGTCCACTTCCGTGACAAGCCCCACTGCCACCAACACTGCAACAGTTTCCTCAACTGTCTCAACAGGCACACAGACTTCATCTACAACCCTATCCACGCATGCCGTCATACCGAGCAGCACCAGCACCGCGCCCTCAGACCTGCAACCCTTGGTAGAGCTTGAGAGCTTAGAACAGCAGCTTGCCAAGCAGCTGGCGGAGAACTCTTCCAGTGAGCCAGGCATTTTGGGTAGCACGCTGGTGCAGTCAGACGTGGGGCAGATCTTCGCTTTGCCTTTTTGTCTGAAGCTAATAATCCGTTTAGTGTTTGATATGTATCTTGTATTCACCTCAGAGGCTGCTAGCCACTTCTTAATCTCCGGCATAGCTCCACCGCATAAACGTCTACAAAAAATCCTTGGAAGCCCAAGGGGTGAGCCAAGGGGAGATCAGCAAAGAATGGCTGAGTGCTTAAAACGGGGGGGGTCCTGAAGCGCCTACTCTTGCTTTCTGAGGGGTGCCGGTATTTTGCAGCATGCATTATGTCTGTAGTCATCACCCCGCCTCTTGAAGCGAAGAGGAGCTCACAAGCTTGTGGAAGTCTGACTGGAACAGGTATCCGGTACATGTCCGTGAAAGGGTTAGTGGAAGGCACATCCCATAAGCCCTCAAGCTCTCATTATTGAACAACCCCCCAGTGTGTTCGGGCTGTGCCAGCAGCCGGATAGCTAACCTGCCTCAGCCTGCAGCCCCCAGATCTGCGCATGCACAGTAGAGGAACCGCACACTTCAGCGCATCCTCGAAGTGACGCTGCCCCGTGACAACGAGACCTTCGGTGCTGTCATCGTGCCCCCAGACGTTGTGGCCCAGGCGCCCTCACCTTCCACATTCTGACAGGAAGACCCTTAGGATGTTAGCATTAATTTTGATATCACAAGGATATTTCTTCTCTCTGTGGAGGCAGCGGCAACCTTGGGCAGCGAGGACAGGTTGGTCTTGCTGAGCATCTCCATGGGCAGGGCAGCATTGGTGGACAAGCTACGCAGTGGCAGCTACGAGAACACAGGCTCAGGTCCGGCCAAGCTTCTGGTCTCCCCTGTGGTTAGCATTACCTTCCGTGGGACTGATGGCTGGAAGATTCCCATGCCCTCTCTGGTGAAGCCCATCAAGATCCGCCTGTCTACCACGAGCGAGATGAGTGAGGCGGCTTTGTGCAGTTTCTGGGACGAGGAGAATGTCACTTGGTCGAGTCGTGGCCTGAGCCGGCTCTCCTTCGAGGACGGCGAGCTGCTGTGTCAGATGACTCATCTCACAATCTTCGGTGCTGTGGTCGACGCCTTCCTACGCGTGGTCCAGTGCTCCACGGCTTCAGAGGTCTTCTCAGCGGAGGGCTTCCAGAACATTGGCAAAGGGGCTTGGCTGCGGTTCACCCCAAGCATCGTGACCTGCAGCGCCGCCCGGGCAGCAATGCAGACAAGACGCAGAAACGGACAGCGCTGCATCTTCTGTGTTGACCAGCCGAGGCTCTGTGTGCGTTTCTGCTCATGATGGCGTACGCCAGGTGCTTGGACAAACGACGTGCAAGGTCCAGGCCTGGAGTTCAAAGACTCGGCCCGGTTCCGACATTTCGACCCTTGGCAGGCTGGAAGTTGAGGCAGCTCTACTTGTTGAGTCTTGGGAGCAGGACCTCCAAGGTCGAGAGGTCGGCACCCCTTTAACGTTACATGCAATTCGTTGGACTCAGCTTGCTTTGGCGGAGCACAGGACAAAGCTGCGAAGGAACTTGGAGAGGAAGAGGAGGAGCCGTACAGTGAGAAAGAGAAGCAGGCTCCACTGCGTTTTGGGCAATCACGCAGGTTGCTAGAATCTTAAACACTGCTGGCTCATCCGGCAAGGTCCAGCATGTCAGCTTTTGCCGACGAGTTGCCTGGCACGGGATTTCCAAACAAGTGGCTTCAGGGAGTTTTGATTGAGACACTTACCACTGATGGCCCCCCGTGCAACTAAACGCAAAAGAAGTAGTAAGCTTAAGCCGAAACTCAAAGCAACTAAAACTCTGCGACGCCTGGACCTTTTGGGTAAGTTACTCCTGCAAGATGCCTTGGACGATGTCGCTTCGCCCAAGGCAGGCGAGAGGCTTCTGTCTCCGTTCGCGTGGTTCCTAAGCCAGATGAACCTTGGCAAAAACGGATGGTCAAGGGGCACCTCGAGGTCTTTTCTGAGTTGCCGCATTAGTCGAACAAGTTCCAGGGAATGCCAGGCTTGACGTCCCAGATGCAGACATCCTTGCAGACCTCATGAATGCGAAGGAGGGCCTTGCTGTTGAGTTTGACAAAGTAGCAAGTGAGACCAGGCATTCTTGGTGCGCAGCTTGCCTCGTTAACGCGACATCACCAAAACCTGGTTGAAATACACTTTGTTGATGCATGTTTCTGTGCTTATTGAGTCTGATTCGCTCTAAAATTAAGAAGATCCTGTAGTTTGCGCATAGCCGGTCTGCTGCTCAGCTTGGGTTTGGCTGAGACCTAGTGAATGTATCATCCAAGCCTTTTCAAGTCTTTTCAATATGATCACGTTGTTACTTTCACCTGGTCTTATTTCCCACCTTCCCAGGCCTGGTGTAGGCCTTGCTCCCCCTTCGAAGTCTGCAACTCTTTTCACTCTGCATCTCCCTTTCAAGCTTTCTGGCTTCCTCGTTCCGAGTCCATTTCAGCAGCGCAGGGCCTAAGCTTTATCGGTCACATGTTTTCGAAGGTTTTGGATTATCTTTTCAGGCTTCAGGGTCAGAGATTCTCAAGTCTCCACCTCTTTTGGCTTCCCACACCTCATCTCTCGTCGATGTGTCACAGTGTAAGAACTCCTACTCCCCGCCTTATCCACGAGCTTTCAGGCTGCAAAGCTTCGATTTCTTTCGGGTTTGACCGCCTACATTTGTTTTGAGAGCAAGGGCCCACCATCTTGTTTTGTGACCTTCAAAGCTTTGAAGTTTTCGTTATGCCCCTTCAAGGTCTAGGCTTTCCCAGGCTAACTCCAAGTAATCATAGAGACAACAGAATGAACGGCACCTCGGTGGAGATTTAAAGGGCAGGCAAATCCAAAGGTAATCTTGCATAGGCTGGCTGTGTGTCTGATGTAGGTTCCTCTGTCGCCAATCCTGCGCACCCATGCCAGTGACTGACCGTTTGTCAGATTGCGAACCGGTTCGAGTATGTCTGCAGCTTGAGCAACTAGAAAGTTCAGGTCTGTTTGCTCGCAGGTGGTGACAATCAATCGCTGCATCAGCTCGATCTACGCCTACCGCAGCAACGCAGATGCGCAGAGCATCCGTGCAGCAGAAACAAAGATCGGTCGGGTGCAACTTGGCATTGTGAATTCCGCCTTTCAGCTCACATCTATCATAAGTCATGCGCCCAAGCCTGAGCCCTCAAATCCTAAACGTCTGACCCAACATTGAGCAACAAGTCAGGCACCTCCCCGCTCGCCAAATGCCAACGATGTGGTGTCCGTGACGGTGGAGGACTTTGTGCGCATGGACGATGTAGACCGTGCAATGGCTCACGTTAGAAGCAAAGCCTCTGTGGCCGAGCAGTTCCTGAAGAGTGGCTGGCACAAGCGTGTGCTTCTCCTGACACGTGCCAAGCACCCGTGGGTCACCATGCAGTACGTGAGCCTGTTCCGCTCACACACAGTCCGTGCCTCGCTGATCATATTGAAGTTGGTGTCAGCGGCGGCTGCCAATGCACTCTTTTTCATCAGTGCAGCCACAACGCCGGACTCGGACCCCGACTGCGCACCTCCCCAGAACTTTGCTGAGCGTATGCTTCGGGCAGGCATCGTCGGCATCTTGTCCGCGTGCATGGGGGACATCCTAATTGTCCTCCTAGCCATGGTGCAGCGTCGCTCTGTGGTCATCCGCGAGAGCTGGACACTCGAGGCAAAGGACTGGCAACTTAAGCAGTGGCTCTGCAGGAGCTATCTCTTTTGGATACTCTGGCTCCCTGGCCCGCCGAGACGTGTAGCGCAAGATAGTGCAACCGAGTTCGCGGGGATATACCATTTCCAGGTGCCTGCTGAATGTCGCTGACATCCATGTAAACGTGTTTGAAGTCCAGCTTAGGCTCGCGGATGTCAGCATCTCCGTTCTATACGTTTTTGGTTTCCTGGCCAATGTAAGCATGGCGGATGCAGAGAAATGGATGGCCAGAGTCTCGTCCGCAGTATCTTGTTGTCGAACATAATGGGACAGGGAATGGGCTGCCCGGGAACCCCCAAGTCTCGTTGACAGCAGAAGAAGATGACAGGAAGCGAGAATCCAATAGTTGAAGCTCAGCAGCAGTGTCTGAACTAAGAATGCCTTGTAAGTCTTGCCATGCAGGCACTGGGATGAGCCTTCTACAGGATCTGGTGCTGAAGCCTGTGTATTTGGCGCCTGGAGCTCGTTTCGCTAAAAAAGGGTGTGAGTCATCATCAGTCGGACTATTGTATTGGGGTTGCATCAGTCAGGACTGGTACACGGAATTGGCACATGACCTAGCCTTTCAAGCATCTTCGTGATTGATCGGAGTTGTTTTTTCGTGTAGTGGAAAGTGAGCCCTTTGGTTGATTCATCCGCTCTTTGCATTTTCAGAAGTCATCTTAAAGTCGTACGATAATGATGCAACTGATGCAGCTGCAACCCCTTGGCAGCAAGGCAACAGATAAAGAAGTTTTGTTTCACAGCCAAGGCTCTTGCCTACGGGACGCTGGCCAGTCTTGTCCTCTGCGCCAGCCCGAGCATCGCTGAGAAGGTCATGCTTCGTTGGATGCTCTGCGAAGAGACTCCGGAGAAAAGCGCAGACCTTGAGGCGAGTTGGTTGAATGCCATTGCATGGGAGACCAGGTTTTGCGTCTTGGGAGCTTTGCTGGATGGCAGCCCTTTGCCGAATCCCACACCTTGAGCTCAAAGCCTAAACCCCATGACATCTTTAGCTTCAACCATTTGCTTCAAGCTGAGGCAGCATCGAGGCCTGCAACGGATTCCTTGCGGCAAGCCTGTACAGCATCTCATGACGCCGCCGAAATCTATACGGATTCAATCTGAAGCATTGCCGTCCGGATGAAAGGTCACGGACGAAACCCGAACCATGCTTTCAATAAAGTAGTGTCTGGCAACTCGCACTTGTACAGCTTCTGGCATCTTGCGGCGCCTAATAGAACACCAAAGTTCCAGGATCCTTTGTTGAGGAATCATCGAAAGGGGTCTTGACATATCATCTGACCATTAGATAGATGCCTTTCACTGGGCATGCCTCGTCGCGCAATGATGGTGTGCCCTCGCGAGCGTTTCCCTACCACCATCTTTGAGATTCAAAGCTTGGTGAGCTTGATTTCACGGAGCCGCCACAGATTCTCCTGTTAAGATTATAAATGCACAAGTGAATGAGGCAGGACTTTGAACGTTGGCGGCTCTGAGGAGCCATTACATCATTTTTCATTCTGAGCAGCCCTCTGCCGCTCATGATTCGGTCTCTCAGTCCTCCCTGCCCATGATTCAGTCATTCTGTTGCTAGAGACTTGGCTTGACAGCAAAAAGCTGCCGGTAAACAGCATGTTCCGTTGAGAGTCGGGTCTAGGGTCTGGAGTTTAGGGTTCTCCTCTTTGCGTGAGGGGTAAAGAGGCAGCGGTCAATGAAATGGTGAATTTTCTGTTTCTGGCTTCCTTCTCCTTGGCGAGCCAAGGTCTTAGAGGCGGAAGTCTGCAAAGTACTGAGATCTGATTCGATAAGACAGAAAGAACATCATGAGTTGCACTATCTGCCCGACTTCCGCAGCCGATATGCTTGCAAACCCAAGAAACTCTGTGTGCCTGTAGTCCTGCATACATGTAGCATGAATTGGCCACATTGACCTTCATTTGATGATGTCCACGATTCTGGATCTTTGTCTTTAGCTGGGCTTGCGGAGGCAAACAAGCCTGGGGCCATGGCAGCTTTTCTCGGCTCAGGCCAGCGACCAGCACCGGTTTTCCTCTCCCGCATGGCTCAGGCAAATCAGAGACAGGCTCAGCTATTCAGTAGACTGCACTTAGCCATTGTTTCTTAAACTTATGAGGTCAACATCGGACACACGCTTTGATAAGTTCGTCAGAATCCACCAAGGAATGTGATCTGCACTGCTAAGGGTGAGGACGTGCGGAAGGTGGACGTGGAACATTTGCTGAAACATCGTCTTCGGATACCCATATTCCAGCGGAGGTATTGTTGGTGCAAAGACCAGTGGAACACGCTTTTTGGTGACGTTTCCCTGGTTGCAAGTGGTTCGAAGGAAAAGCATTCATTAGGCCGTATCACCTGCGTGCTTGACAGCTCCAGTGATGGCAGACTCTTGGTCGTAGATGGCCAACAGCGGAACACCACTTGCTCCCTACTCTTGGCAGCCGTACATGATGTGGCTGCCAAGCGGCAGAGCGAGGATTGTTTGAAGCTTGTGTCCAAGTTGGAGTCTCTGCTCTTCCCCGGTGGGCTGGAAGAGTGGATGTCGGCCAGGCAGCCTGGGACACCGCTGGAAGAAGGTGCCGAGCTGGGTGCTGCCGCATTGGTGCCCACGTACTGTGATAGGGCCAGCTACTTCGCAGCCACTCTTCCACAGCGGGCTTCCGTGCCAGACTCTGGCTCCTGGACGCGCCCCATGGAAGCCAAGAACTTTTTTGCTGATCGTCTGGCAGGTGAGAAAGATGAGCGCTTGGTTGCAGTGGCTGAGGCGGTGCTGTACAAGCTCGAGTGGTTACTCTTCCCCATTTCCTTGGGCGAAGGTCACTAATCCTTGAAGCAGCAACGCTCACTTCTTTAAGTTCCTAAGCCATAATAAGTATTCACATCAGCCAAACACGATGCCTTGCTTACGCATTCTTTTCATTGAGTCAGATCGCAGGTCACAAGGATGGCACTGAGGATCTCCACCTGATCTTTGAGCGGCTGGCCCTGCGTGATGCTACGTTTTGCAAGCCTCAACGAGCGACAGAATATGCCAACATGGGGGCTGCCGACTTTGTTCGAAATCTCCTCCTGGGTTCTTTTGCTCAAGAGGCTGATGCGATAAATGCCTACAAGACTTATTGGCTACCCATCGAGAAGGCTGCGGCTAAGGTTGCTGAAGCCAAACGAGAAAGCGTGGCAAGCCACCTGGAAGCTGCACTGGATGCTTTTCTGAAGGCAATGCCTCGGCAGCCTCGAAAGCAAGCAAATCTCGCCGCAGCTGGGGTTGGAGGCGCGCTCTACGCCAGGTTCCGGCGCTGGATTGTTGACGTGGACGCCACTGCTGACCCTAAACAGACCATGGACTTGCTGCGCCAATTGCATGACTTCTCATTGAAGCACTTCGCGACCGGGGGGCCTGCAAGGCAGGCATCCCCTCCCCGGCTTCACGCACAGAGCCCTGGAAGCACTGGAATGCAGCTGCTTGCGCTGGATCCCTGCAGCGAAGACTGACGAGCCATGGCTGGAATATCTTGAGCCAAGATGTGTTGGCTGTCACGTGTCGGAGTGGCATGCTTGCTAGAGATGGCCAGGCAGGTGCCACACACCATGTACAGATGGCGTCTCAACGCTTCTTCGCTTTTCCCAGGCTTAGTTGCGGCAAGCCAAGTGAATGTGCCCTTGACCATGTGACAGATGCTGTTGGTTGGGCAGCAAAGTGTGCTTCATTTTTTCACAGCCTAACCCCGTCGATCTCTCCATGCCTCGCCCTGCTACAGGCTATGCAGGCAGAGAGAGAGGGATAGAGGGAGAGCCATGTTCATTTATTGACCAGAGTTGTTGCAGACATTGCAGAGTGTCACGCGCACCTTTTTTTGAACCCCTGATGGCAAATAGAATCTACACAGCCTTTTAAAAACGTGGTGATAGCCGTGGTTTTGGCTCCACAGAAGAATAGTGTCGCAACCCCTGGCGCAAGACAACCCAACCCCGAGCGTTGGCAACCCCGCAGCGGCCACCGGAACAGCCCAGGTCTCCAAAGTCAGACCCGATAATCCATTGTGTACATGTGCCATGGGGGCCAAGAAGAAGGAGAAGGTAGCCAGCACTCAGGCTAGTAAGTTCTGCGTGTCGAACGCATAGTCAGACTTGAAAGCACAGATGCTGCAGGCCACAGCTGCGAGTTCCTTTCGCTTACCTGAGCCGGACAGGACCAAAAAGTTCAGGTATTTATGCAGGTTTCGTCCTAGAAAGCTGAAGTCGTGTGACCATCTACTGTTTTGGAGCTGGTTGGCGGAACAGAGGGTTCGCCTGGAGGGGCCTGGAGGATTCTGGGATCGTTGCCGAGTGTTTCACTTAAGGGATACGACCTTGCACCCGCATGTGACATCAGCGTGCAGTTGCATGTAGCTGCTGGATGCTGATTCCGGTGCTTCCCGCATAGAGGCAGCATGCTTCTGACTGGTGATGCAAATTTGCGCGTTTTCAGTTGGCCAGCTGTGTGCACAAGCCAAGTGCACTAGCAATGGCCACCCTCGTCTGCAGCGCGCCAGCCTTTCTAGATCACAGTCGATGCCAATTTGCAGATTGGTGATTCCGCCACGTGTAAAGGAACGGGCCAGCCCAAAAGCAACAACAGCTTGAGGACTCTCCAGCTTTCGGTGCCAGCAGTGGCTCCTCCGATCGAGTTTGAGGTGCTGAAGAAAGCCAATCGTTTAAGGGTTGCTTCATCAGCATGCTGGTACATGTTCAGACTAGGTAGGATGTGTCACGTGCAACATCAGGTTGGATTAGTGCAAATCACATCTTGCAGTTGAAGCTTCGTGCACATTGAAGGTGATTTCGATATTTGGCTTAGGTAAGGGACCTTACATCGCAAAGCCCGTGCAGGAGGCAGCTGAGACCACGGAAGACGCGCTCGCTTCGCTAGCCAACGGGCTGCCGAGTCACGAAGCTTCAAGGGAGCTGGAGACAATCTATTGCCCCAGGGTCTCATGTCACAACAGGCAGGTGGCATGACGTTCCTCGGTGTTGTCTGCGTGGGCGCACGCTTTTCCCTGATTCCTTGAGTCCTCCTTGCCAGGAAGTAGACAATGTGGAGGGTTCTACCTGGTTTTTTTGATACCTGTGTAGAATCTCAGGTTTCTGCCAAATACTCCGAAGACCAAAATCACCTGCACCAGTCCAGGTCGAGATCGCATAAACCTGCCCGCCCAATCAACGCGGGCTGTTCCCGCGATTCCAACTTTGACCGTACCGCAGACGCTGACGTAAAGTTCTTGCAATTGCTATTGCGGCTTGATGTTTGTTACACGGCCTTAAGGAAAAGTGCAGCTGCAGCACCTGCCACTTCTGACCCATCCAGTAAGAAACTTGACCTGAGTCATGAGCGTCCTGTTGCGTTCTTGTTTGCGGCTTGTGGGCTTTTCAGGGATGCCTGAACCCTGGTCTTGCTTTGCGGAGGAATCAGCGCAATCGATAACTTTCTCACTGAGGTGCGGCCTGCTGTGTCTGCTTGCTTGGTGTAGAGGCTGTCATGAATTGAGCTTCCGACTTGGGGTGTGATAGAGGTCTTGATGAAGAGACAGTTGAGATTCTGCCCAGAAGATCTGCTCACTGAGAAATTCTTGGCCAACATGCGCTTTCCTTGACGTAGCTGATGCGAGGGAGTTTTCTGTTTCTGGATGCCGGGTATGGTGAGAATTTCAATGACAGCAGTGATGGCAATGACAGCTCGGCGCAGAAGAACGGTGACCTGCCTGGTGGTTGGAAAGCATGGTGACCACAATGTGGATGCCATTGACTTGGTTCCTGCGTTCGGCGCCTGCTGCTTGGATTTTGAGAGGCGATAGCTTTCAGTCAGATTAAAGGGGCCCATCACGCGAGCCGAACATGTTGCACAGCCTGCCAGCAGGAGGAATGCTTGGGCTGGATCACATGGGGAGAGAAGAAGGACTGGGTGCTTGGGCTATAGAATCGACGTAGTTTCGTGAGAGGTCAGGGACACTGTGAAACCTAGCTAAGCAGCCGAAGTGCAGACACCATACCACACATAGTCATCATCAGCTCTGTGGTGCGACCAATCGGATTCAACGCACTGGCCTCTGGAAGCAGGATGTTATCTCTGAATGAAACCAGATCTGAGTTTCTGTGCTGCGTTTCAACAGACATTGTAGAGAAAGATGAGAGGTCAGTGCACTCTTCTAGATCATGATTCTATACTAGGGTCTGCATGTAATTTCTTGGCGCAGGGCTTCGAGGAGGCCAAACAGAAGGCAAACTCGGTATATGCGCACCGAGACAACGGCCGAATCGAGCTCCCCAGCCGAAAGATTGATTTGGCCGGCCAAGCTGCCATGTCATGCCATGCTTGTGTCGGCTGCAGGTTCAACAGCCCGGACATTGCTTATTTGCTCTGGCTTCGAATAAAGGAGCCGGCCTATTGCTCTGCAGAAGTCGAATGTTGTTCCATGACCAAGCTTTTATTCCGTGGAAGGGCTTCGTCCCGGACTTTGTGGGAAAACCCCCGCGGGCCGCCCTAGGCGGCAGCCCGTGCCACACGGGCTGAGCATGTGCCAGATCGTCATGCGCTCCTCAGCCTAAGCCGAACCCATTGAGTTTGCTTGCATTCTCTTACCTCGAATCATGAGAGGCTCGACGGGAGTCATAGTGAAACTCGTGTCCCAGTGCTGGAGCGCTCCAGGAGCGCTCCTCTGTTCTGATGCACATCCTGCAGGCTGCTCTCCTCGCATCCGCGTCTACAGATATGTCAAGGGGCAGAGGCTGGATTGGGGTTTGTTGCAGCGGCGTGCCGGGCGATTCGGACTTGATGGCCGGGTGTTGCCACTCAACAGCCTTGGCCCCACACTTTTGGAGACAAACTTGACGCCTTGAAGCTGAATCCACTCAGAACTCCAAGGAATCTTATTGAGCGACCTAGGAGTGCCGCCTTTCGCTGTACCCCAAGAATGCTCAGGAAGGTTCGAGAGACCTAGCATTTGAACATGATCAAGTTGGCACATTTGGCACCCTGCATTTGCACGCGGAAGAAGCGCGCTGCAGCATTTTTCCTCACAGGCAGCCTCAGAGCATGAATTTCTGAGCAAAATGCAAGACAGGTGTTGAAAAACGGACTTTCGTCTTCGCTGCTTGTGAGGCCTCGTAGGAGTGTAGCGCTTTGTTGCAAGGTTTGGTCAGCACGTGGACGGCAGCCGAGATGAGCCAGAGATGGGCGGGCGCACGCACTTCACCGTGTCTTCTGGCTTATGAACTGGAGGAGAAAGGAGCATGTGTTCAGACCTCCCCTCTGCTTGTCTGCCTGATATTGCCTGATGATGACAGAAAGTTGCAGCCTCCAAAGCCCAAGAAGTCTCAAGTTGGGCCCAGCAGATCAGCCGCCTGAACAATCAGGCTCGTCTACCTCAACGGTGGTGACCGAGATCCCAAGGATCTGCAGGCAAGTAGCGTGAGTTCAGGGTTTTAGGATTGAACTTTGTTTGACTCCACTGTGCAAGGCTAAGCTTCTGCTAGTTGGGGTTCTCGAAGATTGACGTGATTGCAGATCCATTTGGAAAGCCTGACTGGGATTGCTTCAGGTCACCAGACTTTTTTGGAGCGCAGTCCGCTTCAAGCACCCGCCCTAAAGTGCCGTACCCTTTTCCAAGGTAAGGCAGCATGCTATTAGCACCCTACTCGGGTTGATCTGACAACGCCTTGCAATCCGTAAGGTTACAGTGCAACCGAATCCCTTGTCTTGTGTAGGTTCGTGGAGGCGAGACTGTCTTTTGGAAGGCGGCTGGGACGGATGTGGGGCCTCCAGGGTTCAGAGTCAGTTTTGAGGATTGGTCCACAAGTTAACGATCTGGTAGGTAGGAACTTGTGGGTCAGGTGCAGCGATAGCAAGGGCAGAACTCTTGAGCAGGATCTGATGCCCGATCGTTGCCATTTTGGTATAAGATCCGATGGTGCATCTATTTTGTCCCACCCTCCACCCTCTGTATTGGGACCTGTTTGAGTGTTTGAGTATTGGTAGCGTCGATCGATGCCTGGACTTGTGAAGACTTTCCCTGCTCCTCTGATCAGATCGATGATTGATCGATCAATCGACCACAGTGACTGTGATCCCATGTCAGACGGTCACGGGAAAGGAGGCCGTGCGCAGTCCTGCCCTGTGGGCTTCGAACCCTGAATCTCCGCAAAATCCACAAAGCGAAGCTGCTGTCAGCATCCACCCAACCAAGACTTTTGAGACCGGCTCTGGTGCAGGGGCGGGTCTTTCAGTTACGTACGCACCGCAAGTAATTGCGGATGCTCACTGGAGGTGTCTACACTCCTTGCGCATAGGTTATTGTCATTATTGTCAACGATGTTTGCATCTGTACAAGTCCATTTCCAGCTTGTGGTTGCGGGTTTGGATTGGTTCTCGATTCCTTGGCCCTTGATGACACCTTGTATGTGCTCCGCTTGCGGCTTCCTGCAGGACCACGACGGCAAGCGCCCCGCACTCGCTTTTCCACCCACACGGGGCGTTTGCCTCTTCCATGGCCATGGGGATGAGCTGCTCGGTCTGCAGAGAGGCAACTTTCAAGGCATGTGCCAGAGATATCACAGGGGCCGTGAGCGCCTAGGTGCATGACCCATGAGGGCGCGGGTGTGGAGGCACCTCGCAAGCTTGCTTTGGTTGTCCAGGAATCGATCTGCTCACTATTTTTCATATTTCGCTCTGCCATGGGAGACAGGCCGTGATGGCAAGGACTCGTTGGAGTTAACACGCCAACTCAAAGGAACTTTTTCCTTTTGCAACCACATAGGGCCTGCTTGAGGCTGACAGTCCATACATGCGTTCGGAGGAGGGCGTGAAGTATGTGTTGCGCACCGATGTCGTGTACGAGCTGGAGAAATAATGCTGCTCTCTGTGGAGGCAGTCTGTGGGTTGCTCAGATCCGACAGTTTGCTAACATGCCTCTGTCAGTATATGTACGTACCCGCAGAGGGTTGCGGCTTGCTCCACGAACTCTCATGGCTTATCTGAAAGGCACCAGGCTAGATCCATAAGTCTGCTGGAACAAGTGCGTGCCCTGCTCCGCATCAGTGCAACCAATTTCCTCAACCTCTGCAGGCTGGCGTCTGCCTCTTAGTGGCGGCGCATGCAAAGGTGTACAGATGGCGGCCTCCGCTTCGAAATACAGCTGGGAAAAGTTGATGTCTGTGGACTTGTGCCATGCCAGCGTGATTTTTCGGTGGCGTACATATTCTGTTCACAAGTTTTCCACACTGAACCACATGCTTGTCATGTTCCCAGTTGCGTGACTTACTGATTTACTGCATCCTCGGCTCGCGTGGTTGTGCGTCACTTTGAGCAGCACATGCAGCTACCTTTTTCCGTGTGCGCTGTTGGTGCTTGCTCAGGGATCATGACCTGCGGCATACAGGATCTTCAGCCCGAGGAAAGAGCACACAAGTTTCTCAAGCAACATGATGCGATGAAGCGAGGAAATCTTGCAGGGAGATGCACCTGAATCAATCCTCCAAGGAAGGGAACACTCAGCTATCCAACTGGCTGCCATGGCCAGCCTGACTTTCCGTCTGCTTGCGAGAGCCCAAAGGTATTTGCAAGCGTGGGCTTTGTGAGTGCAGAAAATCCTGAGTATAGAAAGGGATCTGATAAATGTGCAAGTTTTCGAAGGTTGCTGGCCTAAACTTTGAAGATGCAACTGATCTCATACCTCAAAGGGCTTTGGGTGCAGGATTTCATCTCTTGGGGGCTTATTGAGGAGATGTTGTTTCGGCTTCTTCAAGCCTTTGATGGTTTCCCTACAGCCACTGGTTCGTGCAGGTACTTTTCTGTTGCGTCTTCTTCTGTCCTGATTGGTTTCTGCATTGCTGCCATGACTGCGGCTATGGGCTCGGCCACGATGATGAAGATAATCCTTGATGGCTATGTCCCAAGATGTGTCTAGCTCAGGTAGTGCGCTAGGAAGGAACTGATGCGTGCCCTTGGAAGTGCCCTTTGCCCACCTGCCTGGCAAGCTTCGGCTGTTTGCTTTAGCCCAAATTTTGGGGCACAGCTCTACCAGGCAGCCCAGAACTAGCAAGCGTTCCAAGCTATTGGATGCATGTGCTGTGGCTGAGGCGTTGGTTTCCGCCTCTTCTGGAGGAGCTTCGCTGTGCAAGGATCAGGCACTGATGAATGCTCCTGTGTATGTAAAGGTTGAATGATGAACTTGACAAGGTAGGCTGTAGAGGGTCGTCTGCAGTTTGCCAGCAAGGCTTTTTCTTTGTGCCTTCCATGTAGTTGGACTTCGCAGACGCTAGCAGCAAAGAGTCCTCAGTACTTTTTGCAAAGGCATCAAGACGAACCACACTTTTCAGGTGCCAAATCCCACCCGAAGCCAGTCAGAGTGTAAAGTTTGAATACGCAGTGGCTAGTATTCCTCTGACGTTGTTCACAGTCATGTTCAGCACAGCTTCGGTACAAGAAGGCCAAGCGGACACCCACGCAGCCATGCCTGAAAGCCAAAAGTTTGAAGCGTTTGAATTCGGAGGGCTGCATCGCGGTGTTCCGGAATGGACCCGGGCTCGGTACCTCTGTGACTGTGTAGGCCATTGGCAAGCTGCACCTTTTAAACATAGAAACTGCTGGCTTCCTACAACGAATGCCATGTTTAGTGACTCGTGCAGTCAGACAGTGCAGTCAGACAGCTTCTTCCGTGCCTTTCATATTCTCCGAACCTGCGCTTTGGTTCCTGATCTTTTTGCCCAGATTAAGCTTCAGGGTTTTCAGGCTTTCGCTAGGCAGATGGTGTCTCGCTCAGGTGCTCCTTGTCAGTGCTTCCCAGGCTGCGACGTTTATGATGATTGCTCCTCTGCAGGGCATGAGCTTCCATTCAGTGCGAGGGTTGTTCCTTTTTTTGTTGCTTTTTTCGGAATTTGTGTTAGGATCCACGTTCTGCAAGGCCACACGCCCCATGAACTTTGACTGGCACTGCCTGGCCCAATGCCTGCACCCACTTACTTTCTAAGGCCTCTTCAAGTCTCTGCTACGAGGACCTGTCAATAAACATGACTAACCAGCTGCCTGCTGCAAAGGTTGCTCAGACTTTGGCACCGAGTGCTTTGACTCGAATGGCAAGTTCAGGAGCACTGTGAGAACAGGCGCAGGGACTGAGGTGAAAGACTTGTGAGTCAGTGAGTGAGGAGTCCAGGGACAGGCTTTGGTCATCTTTTCTCTGGTTTCCCTCGCTCCTGAGATTCGTTTCGTGCGCTTGTTGATGCTTGTTGGACCAATGTATAGATTGAAGATTTGCAAGCGCTCTCAAAACCCTAACGCTGAATCATAGTATTCTAAAGGCCACACGGAGCAGGCTTTGAATCAACCACTGGAACGACTTCTCGCCCACGGCCACCCCGGGCAGGCTTCAGCAAGGGCTCCAGATTGGATTGCGTGACGAATCGAAATTTAGGTTTGGAGTGAGGGAATTTGATGTTCCCGGACTTGCTTGAAAAGAAAATCTGCTCAACACTCCTTGCTGCCAGGAACAGATGGAGTTTCCTGGACTTGGGTGTAATCCTGCATACCGCAGCAGGCCGACCTGC